TGTTTAGAGTGATTTAAAGGCACCTAGGTTATGAAAGTCCAGGAAAACACGTGGTAGAGACTGCTTTTGCATGCAAAATATGACTTAGTGAGATGTGATAAAAAAATTGTGAACCATACCTTGTACACGCCTTGATGATGAAAGCTATTTTTTTAATAATTTGACTGTTAGCTATTAAATTGCTATAGTTTGCATGATGTGCAGTTTTTTTTTCTTAGTCATCTCATCCTTTTGAGACTTGGCTCACTTTTAGCTAGGTCCACGGGCTAAGTCGCTGATTTGAATTTTAAATAGTTTTTCTTCCAGTGACTGGGCCCACCTTCAATGTTTTATTAATAACACCAAGCTAAAAGTGGGCCAAGTCACTGGAAGACTCATCCTTTTCACTATATTTTTTTCTCTTTTTTTTATCCACAACGAGGAAGCTCTTTCTTTTTTATCCTCTATTAAGAAATATTTAGATTCTGAACTAACAATTTCCTATAAAAAAAAACATTATCTGACAATTAAATTCAATATTTTTTTCTAAAATATTGGGTTAACGAACCGGTAAAGTTTCACATTGATTTCCTGTGTTACTTATTAATTTTATTCGCCAGCATGAGTCATTTAGTTAGTACTAACTTGTTTTAAACATTACTCTAGATACCTTTCAGTGTTTATATCAAGGTGTTTATCTCCTTATCTATATACAAATCTTACAAACAAGCAAGTTGGAATTAACATTCATGCAATTGAATGCTATTAGCAGACGTTTTATTGAAATGACGGTTTCCTGAAATACGCTTCTTGAGTTACGGGACTATTCCCACCTCTCGTTCCCACCACTGCAACTCCTGTGTAGCCAGGTTCTACAGCTTGATCGCTATAAAAACCCAACCAGTGAAGGTCAAGTTTGCTTCTTAAGTTAGCGCCACAGGTGAGTAATAGGACCTTACTCGACAGCCAACCTGGTGATTGCAAATGCGATAGTCCTCTTACTGCTTTAGCGTCAACTGGTAAACGTAATTAAGGAAACCCTCATTCCTCATAATATGGAATAGCTAGAGTTAAGAGTTCGTTCGTTTCTGCCAAATGACGTCCACTGTTGGACAAAGGCCTCCCCCAAGGATTTCCATAACGCCCGGTCCTGCGCTGGCTGCTTCCTGCTTCTTCCCGCGACCTTAACTAGATCGTCGATCCACCTAGCTTAGAGTTAACATAAATTAATACACGAACTGTCCAGTCTTCAAACACAAGTCAGTCATATAAATGCGTGCAGTCATTTATGAAGTTTGTTACGCGACCAGTCCGGTCCATGCACCGTATCATTTATCTCATTTATCGTAGACACTTGCGCTTGCGCTGAATCATTAACAGCTGGCTAAATGCTTTTTAACTCATATTTTTACCACATTAATAACCAGCTGACAGTACGACAGACCTTGTGCAGTGATACAAGATCTTTTATAGATCTATTTATCTTTTAACTGCATAATTTTAAAGTGTCAAAACCGAGTACTAACCTGTCATAAGATTAAAAATACAACTATCCTATATTAGGTAGGTAACTAGTTATTTGCTAACTCATTCAGTTAGTTAGCCAATGATTCAGAGGGGCGAGAAATTTCAATAAGTAGTCTAGTTTTAATCAGGTTCATTAATAAATCAAATCATTTGAATAACCAGTGAATAAAGTGTTTTTATACTACACTAAACTAAAGGAACACTACATACAACACTACAGCATGGCAGCCAAAACTTCAAGCCGTGAGTACATAATGTAATTCATTAATAAATGTCGCGTTAAGATCCCTGTCTTTCTTATTTAAGTCTAAAGGAACATTATTGTACTGAACGGTAAAAGACATTAAGTTTATACATGTAATCCCAGTCCATAAATCCATTAAACTAGGTATAATGGGACCGCAAGTAGATGTTTTGTTGAATGTGCCATCGTCAACATAAAGCAGGAGGATTGCAAGATTGAATCAGCAATAGGCGCGTCGATCCAAATTGAAATTCATAAAAATAATCTTTAATGACTTCCATAAAAGGTAACAATGTGCTCCCAGTCGCAAACATGTTAAGACAAAAGTCTCAATGACTCGCAGTGCAAACAGAACCTGATCATACTAAAGCGAGCTAGCAACAGTGTCCACTGTATTAAGTATGAAATCGATCGCCGAATAGCCTTGGTAGTTGACCGAGTGCGCCCGCGTTTCACAATTATTATGCCTGGCTGTTAATATTTAACAATATTATAATACGTAATTCCCTTGTCTCTTGACTTTATTAGTTGTCTTTAACAAGTAATAAAATTACTTAAAAGGACGCAGGCAACTGCCAACCGGTCATTCTGAAAATCATTGAGGGAGGTCTATGTTCAGCAGTGCATGTCCTGAGGCTGAAATAATGATGATGAGAGAAGAAAGATACAAAGTGTATTTATTGTTCGCAGAAAGTTCTCTCCCTCAATACACTCAGGATTCTTTTCCAAGATTAATCAGTACACCTTTATCATCATAATCAAGTTATTTAGCATCCACTGCATAAGTTATCCGAGGTAAATGGAGGATTTGGCGTACTCTCCAGCTGTCCAGACGGGCTTACTCGATGAGAAAAAAAAGTATAGATTACAATGACGTCAAACTATACATTTTGTAGCAAAATAACACTTATTACGACCTTGTAAGATACGCTGTCATCTCTACAATACGCTCAACGTTATACGCATTCATAATAATGCATTAAGACCCCAAGAATCCGACACCAAGCTGTCAAAACAATGTTCCGGGTGGTTGTTACAGTTTTACAACTGAACGCTTCAGTGATTTTGGATGCTATCAAATATCAATGAAGCAAACCTGTCCAAATTATTAAGTTGCAATTAGCTCTTGAAACTAAGACATTGATTAAAATCGATGGTAAACCAACATCCATTAAACTAATATCGAATAGAATCGAGTTCACGTTAAATGAGTTTAATATTTAGACAGAATAATAGATTCTGTGGCAAACCAAATTCCATTTGCCAAAACGTTTCAAGTGTTACATTAAAGGGTTTGCCAACAATTTTGTTATGACGTAAGTATTATACTTTATGCCTATGGAAATAGAGGTGGTATTTGTGTATAATTGAATCGCAAATAGCCTGACCCTGTTGTTCACTTGGGCCATGAAACGCGCGTGCCAACTGACAAGTCCACGAATTCCATTAACATGTTTGTTTTGCCAAAGTTCCGTTGCAATTATCTAACTTTCTTGCTCTATATTTCCTTTTTGTTAAGGGTCAACGGAATTTGGGAGACTTACTTCTTGTGAATGATATTATGCAAAAACAGATACTGTTCTTGATCGCGCAAAGGTGACTGAATTTCTTCTGCCTCTTCTTCTCAGCACCAGCCCATGTTATCCTTAAGTGGTGGTAGGGCAAGCTCTATTTGGGAATTAGAAAGTGTATAAGCGCCCTGGAAAGGACCTAAGTCTGTATAAATGATTTGATTAGCTCTCATTCAACAATTAAAGATTGCTTTAAAATTGTTAGATCGCTTGGCCTGATATTTTGTGTAAATTACTACAACGTGTCTTGTAGTATGTCTGCTGGCATAGATTATGAACTTGTTTTTCTATAAATAAATGGTCTGAATTACTACTTACATAAAGTAAGAGGTGCTGATCTAAACCCAATTTTTGCATCACTCAGTGATCACTATGGACAATATTTATTATGATGTAACCATTACATAGACATGATGTGAGGTTTGCTCACACATCAATAACCGTTACATCGCTGGTTTAGGAACCACAATCCGTTTTTAATACGGAAGCAAATATTATTCGTATTAACCTCTCGCTATGAAACTTTCAAATTATACAATCTTATTATTACGGATAAAATCTAAAAATAATAAACTTGACATATTGGTGCAACAGTTTTCTATTTTAGTTTTATTGGTAGCTATGAATGATTCAACAATTCTATGGCTCACTTCCTAGCTGCTTCCGTATTACCGGAACTATTCATCCCACTCACTCATAAGTCATAACAGAGACAACGACAAATAGCTAAAAATGCGGAAATGGATCTAAAATTTGTTAGTATTTAAAAGCTGAAACCTTTCTACATATCAGGTATTCAAATAGAAAGAACAAAAGCTTGTGCTTAATGAAACGACATGGATCTTTATCTAAAAACAGCTCCATTTTATTTATTTAAGAAACGTTAAAGCTTGACATTGACCTCTTCAGGTAAAGTAAATGCTTGTGTTAGAAGTGGACTCACTACAATAGTCAAGTAGTTGTTGGAGACCAAAGTAAGCATGCTCTTGAATTGATAGCCAGATGCTTGTTTACACCATTGGTCTATTGTCGTCACGAAGCGCGCCCATTTTCAACCTTTTTATTAAAAGGTGCGCTTCTAGGAACACCTCCTCTCAAGCTTTTTTTATGGATAACAAGGCAGGTATTTGACCACAATCGCACTTGGTGTTATGTCAGATGCAGTCTAGGTTGGTACATATTTGCCCTGTAAGTGCCTATTCACTCTCGCCTTAAAAAGGCCCGGTTTAGGCGTCCGGGAAAGACTGCAGCAGGCAGTTAATTCCAGTCCCTCCATAGCTGTTCGCATTATAAAAGCGTTATCGAAACGTTTAGTGCGAGCTTGTGGAATGTCGACAAGCTTCGCGTTGTTTCGGGACTATTCCCACCTCTCGTTCTCACCACTGCAACTCCTGTGTAGCCAGGATCTACAGCTTGATCGCCACAAAAACCCAACCAATGAAGGTCAAGTTTGTCCCGGGGGAAAGTTAAACTGTCATTGGACCCGCAACGAAATTAATCAGAAGAACATAGGGGACTTCGAAATTAGGGTTCTACTTCCCTCCATTGCAAAGGTTTAAAACCTTTAAGAAAAGATTATGCACCACGGACGATAAATATCAATTAAGGGGGCCTATCTTATGAGCAATTAGCAGCTACCTGCCAATAATATTCGCGTTGTTTGTATAATAATGACTCACCTGTGTGGTCCGAAGGGCGCTGGCGACGGCAAGCAGCGCGAGCGCAGCGCTGCACCACACACTAACCCGCATGCTGTGCTGCAACAAGCACAAAAGTAGATTTATCTTTCAAGATAACAGTCAATTAAAATAAATCGTTCGTTCCTTCGATCGTTTCAGCCAAATGACGTCCACTGCTGGACAAAGGCCTCCCCTAAGGTTTTTCACAATGAACGATCCTGCGCTGCCCGCATCCAGTTAAAATAAATAATAATCATAAAAATAAACGCATAAAATTCTAATTTTAAAACATAAGTAGGTTGTTGTAAAGACACACGAAAATAACTGTCAATATTACGATATCATAACCAAAAAAACTAATTAATGACATTTTTTTTTTGTAACTGAAATGTAATTTGAATTTGAAATGCTAGGCCATATTTTTTATAATCTCAGAAATATACATACAGTTTTCTTCCTAGTCAATTTTCAAAGATGAGGAAGTTACATTAAGAGTTTCATGTTGTCAAAAGCTCGGATTCTAGCACTCTACATAAGTGGCAAAAACACATGGAAACAAAATTCCCCACTGTGTAATGGGATATAGACCTCAATATCGTAAAAATACATCATGAAAGTCAGACACATCAATCCCAGAAGCTCTCACTGCGCCACTTTCGTTTTCGTCGGTTGATATTTAAAAAGAAACAAAACAGACTCTCATATCGGATTCCAGTTATGTTGGTGATAATGATTTTTTATGAAAGTTGACTCGCATTGATATTCCGCTTTAAGCCACGTACTTATTGATTTTCAAAATCAATATTCGTATTAATCCAACCCGTCTACCAAGCGTGGGGATTATGGCAAAACCCTCCACTATAGTGGAGGAGGCTCATGGTCCAGCAGTGGACTGTAAAGGGCTGTTGATGATGATGATGATTCGTATTAATTTAATCATGATCTTTTTATGTTAGTAATGTTACCGTGCACACTTATCACATAACATAGCGTGATTTGAATAATAAATGAATGAATATAATTTTCTATTTTAGTTACTAAGTTTTTTTCTTTTACGATAAATATATAAAAGCAAGTAAATAATAATAAATGATGCGTGTTAATAGAAGATTAAGAAAGTTAATGAATGCTATAAGTTGTTTTGCGTTTAAACTTCCATTACATTTGAAGGCAAAGTGAGATTTGAGATTAAACCTGCACTAGAATAAAACAAATAATTTCTTCTAGGTAGGTAAATATTTATATACTGAATCTACATCAAGCTGCAAAATCGATAATGACTAAGGCTCAGATGCACCACCTAACTTTTACCGTAACTATAAAAATAACCGGTGCTTTTTGTATGGAGTTTGACAGATTTTTGACGTTTGTCAAAGCTAAACTAAGATGGTGCAACCCAGCCTAATATTTTCAGCTATTTATGTGCATTGCAATGTGCAACAATCAAATCAGATTAAATCATGCACCATTTACCCCCCCAATTACTTTTGCAAACGCACTGTGTGTACAGTCAGCTACGTAAATAGGTGAATTAGTTGTGGAATTTATTTGATAATAACTTAAGTGCGAATGATTGGCAGGAGCTATGAATATTAAGGTGACATCGAAAATTGGAGCAATAATTAACGATTAGTCACGCAAAACGCACTTATTTATTTAATTAAAGTTGGGACAATTACATAATATAATTATCAACTGTCATAAACTTGACATTGTATGTTTCTATTAAATAAATGTTGTAAATGTTTGTGAGAAGTATAATTAACTGATAATTTGATTAATGATGTGATACTTCATTTATGATTATACAATAAATATAACTAGACTTAACTAGATATTTGCATAAAACATAATAATTTTATTTAAATGAACTTCGAGGAAAAAGCGACAAAGCTTCTTTTCAGTGATTTCACAAAGTAAATAGTTATTTTTATTTTTTTTAACAGTGTCTACCTCTAAGGGTACTTATTTAGATACATATGCAACCTTTTCAGCATGATTTCTTTTTCTTAAGGGCCCGTGAGTTACGTCTTTGGTCCCTCCCTATTACTGCTCCAATAGTTGTAACTAGACCAGAGACAGCACAAAACCATGACCAAAGCAATTGAACAAACAACGTAACGACCATGTTCCCTCACAATTACCCAGAACGCAGTGTACAGTCAGTGCATATCTGTTGCAACTGCACACTTTCGTTGACCGGCGCCTACTTGCTTTATAGAGCGACGACACGCCTGACGTAATGGAATAATTGTTGCACCCCACTCGTGGTACAGTCAGCCCCTAAATGCAAGACTACTAAAATTAAAGGCAAATATTTGCGTGTCGGCCGTGTTAGTAGCTATTGCTGGTGGCTATATGAGCCGCTAGAAATGCATCTTGATATTGAAAGGTAGATAGTATCGGAGATAGTGTTTTTAAAGTCAGTGAGCTAGCAGACATGCCATAATAATACACAACGAATAATCAAGGTACCTATGTAGATATAAAGCAATGTTTTGAAAAAACCAATTTTGAAAAAACAATTTTTGAACAAACAAAAAACTTCTTAATTTTGCATAACCCCTGGAACCCTTGCAATCGCATGAAAACGCGGTAAAAATTGATTTCTATTATGTGGTCACTTGTACTTGAAGGGCTAAATAAAATACTAGTTACTGACGATGTGTCCCAAGATTTGCATGCGTAAAAGATTTTAAATTGATTTTGATAATACACTTCACAATAAATATATATGAGTGACTGTACAACAGAAGATAAACAATAGATTCACGCGCGAGATACAAAACTATTAATGTAATTAGACAACTGTCGGATCAGGGTCAAAGAAACAGTCTAGATCATTCGTGAGATCTTGATCGACATTGTTCCCATTTTTGACACAGTCATGAAAGTGTCCTGAGTTCTGTCAGACCTAAAGTTTTGTAACATTCAACAGGTTTTGGGCAAAGAAATCTACACATAGTTTACCTACTCATTATCGAATTACAAAAGAGAGATCAAACCTCTACTGCATCATCTTGGAGAAATGAGTTGTAGAGATACAAACACTTATTTTGAAGAAAGACTTTATGTGTAATAACCGTCAAATTTAGGGGAAATTATCATGGTATCTATTATAATATATGTATACAAGATTTAAAAACTAAGAGGGAAATATGCAAACAACAGACCTCAGACAAAAACAAATTCAGTAAAACACATATCTTATATCCAATATTTTTTACAATCCCAAAAGGTAGGTAGATACCTAACATCAGATGCGATTGTGGTCAAATACCTCTTGTCATGCATAAAAAAATACAGAGGAAGGTATTTTAAATCCAAAAGTAAAGAAATATACAGAACAAAAAATTGGTTATTTTTGAGTTAAAGTTTATATTTATAAACTTTACCCCAAAGAGCACGTCTCAACCATTACACGGCGATGGGAAAGCAAGTGTGTAATTTATATTTAATTGCTTTAACTGCAAATTGCTTTGTGACAGCTTTCTATATAACAAAATTATACTACCGTCCGTGGCGTCCGTCACAACCACTTTACAATCTATACTAATACTAATATACTAATACTAATACTAATATACTAATTACTAATATTACTAATTTACTAATTTACTAATTTACTAATTTACTAATACTAATACTAATATACTAATACTAATAATATTATAAAGCTGAAGAGTTTGTTTGTTTGTTTGTTTGTTTGTTTGTTTGTTTGTTTGGTTGAACGCGCTAATCTCAGGAACTACTGGACCGATTTGAAAAATTCTTTTTGTGTTGGATAGCCCGTTAGTTCCTGAAGGCTTTAGGCTATTTATCATCACGCTAAGACCAATAGGAGCGGAGCACCAATCAAGAATATTTCAAATCAGTGATTTTTTTCCTTTTGAGAGCTGACGCTGCGTAAACGGTTAAAGTTTCGCAAAAATCATGTATGACAGGATTGTTCCCCTTTAAAAGTTCTTTAAAAAAGTCCGCGGTAGCATATGTCTATCTTTTAAGGTTGGCTCATAGTAACCATTTTTATGCAAAAAAAATCTGTTTTAAAATAATGCATTATTTGCGAAGGTGTTTTTATAAACATGATATTAATCCTTATCCAAATAAATAAATTATTCACCACAAGTATTTAATTTTAAACATTCTTGCCCTTTACACCATTCGATTTCAATAAATATCTTAGGAGATATCGCAGTTTTAAAATCACATCGCAGCAAAATAATGATCAAGTACTACGCGCGCTACTGATGGATCAATGCACAGCCTAAACCGCTGATCGTAAAGACCTGAAACTTGGACGGTGTGTTCTTTGTATGACGTAAGCATCTGATAAGAAAGGATTTTCCAAAATTCTACCCCTAAGGAGGTAAAAAGGAGGGGCAAAGTTTGTATGAAATAACGAGATTCCTTCGTCCAATCTACTTAAAATTTTGCATAAGCATTCTATAACAGAATTAATGGAAGACGTGTTTCGTATTTTAGTGAAATTCACCCCCTAACTATGTTAAAAAGGGGTAGAAAGTTATTTTAGTGGTGATTTGCTTCAAAGTTGATATTAATTACTCATTAGTGCATTTTTTTACAATCATGACGTCATGTTAACGACTACCATACTCTAGGGGCCTCCACTTAACCTCGGAGTGGGTGCCCGCTGCGTGCGCTCGCCCAACAATGCATAGTAATGCATGAAAGTCATGCCGCGGGCACCTGCTTGCGCTGTATACATAAACTCATTTTCGCGCGAGAGTTTTGGCGGAGGCCCTTGAGGTAGTGGGAGTAGTCTTGAGGAAAAGCTCCTTCTCCCACGGCCAGTGGCATGCTGGAAGCTTGGTGATTCTAGCACCCGTAGGAAAATATAAAAAAAAAAGTTTACCAATAATACTGCGGTAGGTGTAGTTTTCGATTTCGTTCACCGGATCAAAGGCCGAGCTGCATATTCATAAAATATAAGAAAAAAATATTTTCATGTTTATTTAACCTGATTTTTATATTTTAAAAGAATTCAAACATTTAGATAATAACGTTAAAACATTTAAAAATAATCGTATGAGAACGTTTTCGATTTCTCCACGGAC